AAGTGTCACATGATCTTCAGAAATCATTCTAATATGCTGATTTATTATTAGAATTATCAGCAACAATACTACTGCCAGAATAAAAGTTACGCCTTCTTTCTTTGCGTGAACATTTGGGCGGTGTTATGCAAATCTTCCCACACAGTGACGTAGACATGTGGGGGCGTGTTTAAACGAGGCATTTTACGAGGGCGTGGAAAAGTCTTAACTTTTATAAAGAATATCTCTTTGGATTTGAGACTTTAGTCTTTGCAACTTTACAGATCTTCTTTATGCACCAAGAGCTTGTAACACTCCAAAGAGAAAGGAAAAATTGAAATCGCATCATATAACCCATTTAAGAGTAGGCTAACTTTAAAAAGCAAGTACTAGTATCATAGATAGATTTAATATAAATAGGCCTATTACATATTAAAACGGCTTGCCATAACTGAGGCTCCTGCTGTGAAGCTTTTGTGTGTGTTTCCCTCTGGCCGGATCACTACTACAGGCGGAAGTTACAGGCGCTTGTGTTGGTGAGGTGAACATCTCCCGTGGTGAGAAAGTGGAAAGCAGCGTAAAGGATAAACAGCAGGCACATCATATATGTGGACGCGGTGGATTTATTTTCCCTTCCTGCATTGGCAGACTGCTGGTTTTCGTCGATAAAGGCAGACTGGCATATTTATTGAGTTTGATGGTCAGATCGTGAAGCTCTCACAGTAACTAACACACGCGCTTTGATTGGAACGTACAGACACTCTGGTACATTGATACATTGTGGCCAAACGGCGCGTTTCCGACTCTTTTTAATACGCGATACATTGTGGCCAAACGGCGCGTTTCCGACTCTTTTTAATTCCCTGAAGCGGGAGAGAAGAAACATTCACTTTATTCAGCGATGACTCGATTGGGTTTAACATAACTGCTAAATCACGTATGTGACTTACACAACAGCCAACCTAGTGGTGCCTTTTATTTTGGGGGTTTGCACTGGATTTACATTGTAAGTGACAGAGATGGCAGACAGCGGTCGGGTGAAGCACGACAGCCCGAGCTCGAGCCCCGGACCCAGGAGAAAAAGGACGCAGCAGTCGCCCGGTTCAAAGGCGCGGTATTCGGTTAACGCTCCCGGACACTGCTTTCGGAGAGTGACCCTGACCAAACCGACCTTCTGCCATCACTGCAGCGACTTCATATGGGGGATTGTCGGGTTTGTTTGTGAAGGTAAGATGCTTTATGGATTCACTTGGTCGGCAGGTTCCATTCAGCAAAGCAATGTCAACAAAGCGTCTTTAAATTCCCTTATGCTAAATTTACACCGAAAAGGTGGTACAGAAGCGCTTTTGAAGTGGTATTTAGGTGTCTTTACAGACTGTTTAATGCTGCTTAGAGGTGAAAAATGCATATGCGATATATATGATAGTGCTGAATGAATACTCTTAAATAAACAATATTTGTCAGTTGACCGTTTAATGGATTTTACATCACTTAACCATTTCTTTTAAAGTGAACGCATCTGATTTGGTTTCAAATAGAATTTTCTCATACCAGTTTGATTGACAGTTTTGATTGACAGATTATGATCGGTGCATGTGCCGTCCTGGAAAGCGAAGGAATGAAGAAGGTAATGTTTAAAAAAAAAAAAAAAAGCATGCAGGAAGTCCAGCATTTCTCTCTCTCTCCTCCACACCTCCCTCTCGAAAGAATGATCGAATAGGCTAGCTTGTATACTAACTGGGGAAGACAGATTGATGCAGATCGATCCGACACACTCCTCCTGTTGGACAGGAATCCGTGATTGGCTGGTCATGTGCAGGAGGACACTTTGATGAGTTCCAACTGATGGAGGCTGGTGACAGTGTGAGAAGATCTGTACTATTCTCACTTCAGTCAGTTAGATGTTTACCATATGTGTTTTTCTTTACAGAGCTGCTTATTTGAGTTACAAATAAGCAAGTAGTTGTTTAGCATGTTAGATTAGACTTTAATCCAAAGCAGTCCTTCTGAACAAACCTCAGTGATGCCCAGTGGTAATGGCTCAATGATTTCCTTTTGCAGGATTCAAGAGTACAACCGACAGCCCAGCTTACAATGAATTAAGACGGAAAAAAAAAAAGATACAAAAGAACCATAGCTGTGGTTCATATGACTCTTCGAGTATATTCCAAGTTTTCAGAAGTCATACAGTATCTTTGTGTAATGAGCAAATCAATATTTGACTGCAATGGCTGCAAACAAATAATTGAATAAGTGAATTGAACTTGACTACTGGATTAGGTCATTTAGTGAATGACTCATTCACTTCTTCTCTCATAAACTCTGATGAATGCAAGTTAGGGTGGATACCAGTCTTTTCAATGAATAAAAACTTAAATTTGCAATACAGAGTATGATTTCGGAATACATAGTACATGAGTCATATGGACAACTTTTATGATGCTTTTGTGTCATTTATGAAGCTTTTATTTATTGTAGTGCATGGGGGAAAAGCACCAGTTTTATCTCCTTTTGTATTCAGTTCTGGGTTAGTAACTCTTGGCTTTGCAGAATCTGTGATAGAGTATCCTCTCTAAAGACCAGCCAGAGTATAATCTATGGCTGAACTGATTTCTTTTGAATCTTTATGAGAATTTATCACAATGATGCTGAGCTGTATGTTTTAATTTTTTATGTGAAAATGACAGCAAAATAATCATAATGGAGCCAAATACCCTTCCATCTGATTTCTATATGTAAAACATGTTTTTTCCTCATGCACATAGAGTGATTGAAAACTAGACCAGTCTTGCCCTTTTAAAGCCTGTTGCTGTTTCCTAGGTGGATTTTAATCCACTATGTTATGCTGTTCACCAGGGTTTCACTACAGGCCCTGTATGAATGATTCTGGCAGATTCGAGCAGCATTACTTTAGAGACAAGTGGACTGGATTTATGTGGCCGTGAGATTGGCAGGGCTGGAAAGCAGATGTTGACTGACACATGTGGATGTTACCAGGCAGAGTTAGGCAGAAATGAGACGTTTCTGTTACGTAATGTTGCTGCAGTGAAGTCGTGATCGACTCTTCCAGGTTGGCATGGCAACACATAGTCCAGTGGAGCAAGGCGGCAGGCTGGATGCTGTAGCCAGATGGACCAAGAGAGAGTAGAACATAAACACACGCATGCTCTACATTGTCATTCGTATTGTGTTTATTGCATTGGTGAAGAGACTAGTAACATGTCAGGCTTAGACTAATGAATTAACATACTTATTAAATTGTATTCATGAGTGCTGTTTTTAAATGCAAGACATGACTATAGTCTTTTGTTATGATCGACTGATATAATGCAGATAAACAAGACGTACTTAATTTCTAAAATTAGGACTTATTTTAGTGAAAACTAAATTCACATAAATACTTGAAAGCAAAATATGTGCATTATGGTATACTGATGCACAGAAATGGAAATTCTTGTTCGAACACGAAAAGTGGAGCCGTTTTAGGGGGGCGTGGCAGAGTCTTAACTTTTATAAAGAATATCTCTTTGGTTTTGAGACTTTAGTCTTTGCAACTTCAGGGATCTTATCTATGCACAATCAGCTTGTAACACTCCAAAGAGAAAGGAAAACTTGAAATCGCATCATATGACCCCTTTAAATTAGTCACTAGTTGGTATAATTGACCATTCTATAATGTAAAAAAAATATTATGTAAAAATATAATAGTAATTTAAGTCTTTGTACTAAATTATTTTAATTGGTGTGGCTTTAAAAATATGCTCTATCAATTTTTAAAGTTTTGCATAGCAGTCTTGTTTAAAGTCAGTATTACATTAATCAAATTCTAAATATCAAGATGTCCATAAAATAGCTTTCTACATTATTTTTGGATATAACGCATTAAGCAATTATTAATCGGCTTGTAAACAAGAGGTCTATCTTGGAAAATCCAAGTATGTTTTAAATATATTTTTAATAAGTATTTCAATTGTGCATGCACAACTATTTACATTACGGTACTATTTAATTATGATTAAAACGGAATAATTCAAAATCCAAAGATATTTGGCCTACTGTGAATGAAAAACGATAACATTAAAATAGTAAAATGGTATCTAAATTAACTGGTTTTATTCAAGTCAGAAATATTTTTAACATCACCGAATCAACCTAAATATATTCACTTATTCAAACTAAATCAATATATATGGGTTAAATCAGGTAGAAATAACTCTTTATGGTAACAGTTGCAAAATACAGTTGTCATTGAAATTTTGGTCATTGAAAATTAAATTGAGAGAATTTAGAAAAAAATCATTAAAAACAGAAAGACAGTTTATACGGTAAAGGTATATGTTGTCATTCTAATTTTAATTAGTTTTTTTTTTTTCCCAAAATTACTTTTTAATTTTCGGTGGTCAAAATGTGTGTGCACGTGCACCCCTAGAATTCTCCACTGACTTTCTATAGATTTTGGAATTAACATGAGGTGAAACTCCAGCTACATATTCTGTCACTTGTGTTTTGCATGTTAGACTTAACAAAAATGTTGCTAAAACAGTTTCATGGGTTCATATGACAAAGGTTTGTGTTGAACAGACTTTGTGATTTCCTTAACAGCATGTGCATGTGGTTTCTAACTGTTTCTGATTTCACAAGAGTGGTGGGCTTTAGAGTGTGCGTGAGAATGCGTCTGTGGTACAGTAAACTTTAGAATGTTTTCCTTGCTCTTGTGGTTGTGATAGTGAGAGGAGCTCTGCCTGACCACCAAGATCACTTCCTGTCTCTGGTAAGCATGAAAAGCAACAAGTGCATAAGTGAGGTTCAGTCTGTACTGAGGGCCAAAGTGGGCTCTGACAGCACCTTAAATTGGGCACACAACGATCCAGCGGTCAGTGCTCTTGTCTTTCGTGCAAATTGTTCTCTTGAGCAGTAAATGCTGTTGCTTGATGTTTGACAATCTTTGTGAAATTTCACCTAGTCATAGGTTGACCACTATTTTGCAATTCATTTTGGTATTATAAAAGATTTATTATGCACTGAATTCAGTTCTGAATTGTGAAAATTACGACATGGTACACTGGGCTGAGAGTGGACTGCTGAGAAAGAATGGCAAGTTTTCTTTTTGCTTAAGCTGCTGAAGCCACATATCTTGGCAACATAATGCACCATAATTCTGTGGCCTGCACTAAATCTCTCTCTTTTTTTCCCCTGCAGTGTGTAACTTCATGTCACATGAGAAGTGTTTGAAGCACGTCAGGACCATGTGTTCCTGTATGGCTCCCACACAAGTTCAGGTGAGTAAAACATGCCACATATGACAGGGTAGACAAACATTAACTTTATGGGTAGATCTCATGAAACTTGTAAAAAAACATAATCAGGTCATATTTAAAAAGTTGTATGATTCTTCACCTTTGAGACTTTTATTATATTATAGTGTTACTTTTTATTTTGCATTTATCAGTAAAAACACTCCATTACAAACGTGAGAATCTAATGGAAATTTTTAAATAAAAAAACATAATAAATATTTTAAATAAAAACATTTTAAATATTATTAAAATAAAAATATAAATACATTTTAAATAAAATAAACTTAAATTATTCTTAAAGTCAAACATCTAAATACATTGAGAAAAAAAAGGTTATAATGGTTTTATTAAAAAAATGTGCTTCGTTGTCTTTGTACAAAATATGTTTTCTTTTTTTGTGAATGTAACTTGGACATGATCTTATGCGATTCACCCTTATTGGATATTACACTTATAAGGCAAGACCAGGTTGCTTTCACTAACAGCATTATTGAGGCATCACAACGCTGGATGGATGCTCTTGATGAAAAGTCTTGAACAATCATGCTGTTAATGAAGAATGATCAAGCTGTTTTGCAGCGTATGATCATGCAAGAATGATCATAATTAGCAGTTGATGCTTTACCTGTCTTATCCGTGGCTTTGCATTACAAACAGGAAGTGCATTACACCCTGAATCTCCATTGAATTATTTAGTCCTCATATACTGACTGGAACCGTTTTGCTCAGTGACACAGCAGTCAGTGTAGCCCTTTGTCCAGCCTTCATAATGAATTACTGATGACTTCCAGTCGTGTTGTGGTCTTTCGTGAAGGCCAAGTGTCAGCCAGCCTTTGTGCCTTTTGATAGCAGCTCTTCTAGCAATCTAGAGCTTTATCATAACAGCCTAGAACGGAAGTTTTTTCTCTCTCTCAGTGTACTCACTACTGATTATAAACCCAGTCTATAGTTGCTTATCCCTATGTACGGATATTAGGGATGGAACGATTAACGGTTTCACGATAAATCACGATAAAATGCCCTGACGGTTAGTATTATCGTTTAAAATTGAATTATCATCAAAACCGTATTTGATTATCGCGCTTTTGAAAACTCGCGGTAAATCCTGTCCAGCCAGCATCAGTCTGACGCAGAAGCAGCATGCAATGTTGTTGTTTTTTGCACGAGACGAAATGGCGGAAGGCAGTGACAGCGCTCGGGAGATTTTTCAGCCATCTAAGAGGACCAAATCGGTGGTCTGGTCGTATTTTGGCTTTTACAAGAGTCCTGAAGGCAATTTAATCGAGGACGGTCACCCTGTCTGCTGATCTTGCAAGAAGAAAGTCGCTGCAAAAGGGGGAAACGCATCAAATTTTTCTCAGTCATCTTCGTGACCACCCCCCACTGTTAGTTCAGTGTGTGTATCAGTTCTTTTTGAACATGTTCATCTAATTTTAACAAAACCGTGATAATATTGATAATCGTGATAACTTTGGTCACTATAACCGTGATATGAAATTTTCATACCGTTACATCCCTAACGGATATAATGCAGGGCCATCATTGTCCCGTGCACGGGGTGAGGAGGCCCACTTATACAAATTTTGTCCCAATCCCTATGAATTTTAGCAGTGGCCTTGGTGATATGAACATATTGTGTTGGCATGCTGATGTGGTTTGTTACACTTTGCTCTAGAATATTTTATTCTGTTTGCTAGTCACATTTGGGATGGTCAAAAAAAATTTTCACCATTGTTCATAGTAACTTGCTGGTGATACTTTAATGTATTTTGTATCAATCTTGATGTGTGACATTGTGGCTAAATGTCGTACAGTAGCTAGCTAATTAGTCCATAGAATAAATACTTGTGTGTATAGTGTGTTTTTTATTTCTATATGTTTCTATATTTATATTCTATATTAATTTCTAAACAATTCTATATATTTGTTGTATATTTTATTTTTGTTTTATATTTCTGTATAGCTTAAATTTTTTTATTTATTTATTTTCATTGTTTGTTTTTTTTCATCTAATATTTATATCTTATTTTATTTAAGCTTTATTTCAATTATTGAAAAAAATTTTTATTCGTTTTTGTTTTAGTTAACAATGACAACTGTGCTTGTCTGATTGCTAAACCAGTTATTTGTGACATTGTAATGGACAAATTTTTACTAGATTAAAGATTAAATAGTTAGATTAAATAATTAGATTAAAATCAGGAACTCATGTCCATGTATTTATTTATTTGTCATTTAAAAGGTAATTAATTAATTGGGACTGGAATGTAATAAGTGGGATTTTTAATAAGGATTTTTTTTTCCATAATAATGACTAAACTGTCCTTTATGTATTGATTGTATCAATCAGATATACAAAAAGGCTTTGAAGAGTTGCTTTGGCTTGAAGAAAATCTGCTAAATATAAAACAGGATGTACATTTAACATGAAACAATGAACAGTTCTGGTTAACAGCATATGATAAAGTAACCTCATGAGATGCTCGCTGCTTGGAAACTGCATCCTCTCAATGTGCTGATGCTACATGTGTTGCCGCATCAGGGCTCAGTTCACAGCGAGAAAAGTCTGCCTCGCTTTAGCCAAATGGCACAGAGGTGACACAGACTCAGTAGCCCCTCACTCAGAACAAAGATCCAGGGGGCGGGGTTGGATCCACATCCAGGGGGTGGAGATGGGTGGGTTTAGGGATCAGGGGGTGGAGACGGGTAGGTTTAGGTATATGTAAGGTGGGAGGAGTTGGATCTGGATCCAACCTCGCCCCCTGGATCTTGTGTTCTGCAGTGAGGACCATCTCCACAAACTGGCCAATTGCATCAGAGCAGCCGCAGGGCATGACAGGAGGCTGAGTCAAGCACCATGCCACATAATGAGGTGGAACAGAAACCACTGGTCTGAATGAAAGACAGGCCTTCAGAGACTCTTCTGGAAGTTTGCCTTCATACATAATGCATGCAGAGACAAACAAGAAAGTGCATGCAGTGTTTTTATTCTCTTTTTCTAGTTTCTTTGGCTGGAAGACTGATGTCTTCAGTTTGAAAAGGAAATGGATGTGACTTTTTAAAAATTGTTTTACTGGCTGAAGACTTTTCTCAGCTCTGTGTGTGTGTGTGTGTGGGGGTAGGTGGGTGTTGTAGGAGAGTGACAGTATCCGAGCCAACTGCTCCATTAACCTTTACTCAACAACCTCACTGGTAAGGTGGGAGGAGTTGGATCTGGATCCAACCTCGCCCCCTGGATCTTGTGTTCTGCAGTGAGGACCATCTCCACAAACTGGCCAATTGCATCAGAGCAGCCGCAGGGCATGACAGGAGGCTGAGTCAAGCACCATGCCACATAATGAGGTGGAACAGAAACCACTGGTCTGAATGAAAGACAGGCCTTCAGAGACTCTTCTGGAAGTTTGCCTTCATACATAATGCATGCAGAGACAAACAAGAAAGTGCATGCAGTGTTTTTATTCTCTTTTTCTAGTTTCTTTGGCTGGAAGACTGATGTCTTCAGTTTGAAAAGGAAATGGATGTGACTTTTTAAAAATTGTTTTACTGGCTGAAGACTTTTCTCAGCTCTGTGTGTGTGTGTGTGTGTGGGGGTAGGTGGGTGTTGTAGGAGTGAGTCAGTATCCGAGCCAACTGCTCCATTAACCTTTACTCAACAACCTCACTGAACCAATGTCACGATTATGTTCAGTTTAGTTCAGTTCCTGTCATGTCTGTTATGAGCTCTCATTAGTTACCATAGTTTCTGATTAGTTAATCCACGTCCAGCTGTTCCTGTTTAGTTCCCTCATTTACCATGTGTGTAGTCCTGATTCTGTTCTTTGTCGGTTATTATCTTGTGTTATGTATCACGTTCTATTAGTTCTACAGCTTCAGTTTCGAACTTTCACGCTTAGTAACACATACAGCTGTTCTCTCACCACAGTGCAACAGTGAAAAGGGACCCCTTTCAAACAGTGTCGCGTTCCGAACGTTGTTTAAGTGTATTGCGGTATTTAAAAAATTTGTATCATAACAAAAATAAACACCGGTATTCGGTATGAACCGGTATACCGCCCAGCACTATTTGAATCTCACGCCTGTATTCCTCGTTCCTCGACAACTTGTGACAACTGCATCTGAGGAAATACGAACACAACAGTTGCAGCCATTCGACACTGTTATTACTGAAAATCGAGAATATGTCCTTTACAGTGTTGGGCAAGTTACTTCCAAAATGTAATACATTATATATTACTAGTTACTGTCTTTTGAAAGTAATTAGTTACGTTACAATATTACTGTCTCTGAATTGTAATGCGTTACACTACTTTTGAGTTACTTTTGAGTTACTTTCACCAAAATATCCACATTAGTATTATAAAATGCCAAAATGTAGTTTATTGCTGGCTGCTCATTCTACATCCAGTGGAGGGTGATGTGGTAGGTCTATATAGCATAAAATTATAAAATCATATTTAGATACTGGTAGGCTATGTAGGTCTACATTGTTACGTTGTAGTTTAGGTTAAACACAGATAAGCACAAACCGCATTATTACATTCATAAATAACACCGGTAAATAAAGCGAAATGTTATAATGTACAAACAATAAACACAATACCTAGCCTATAGGCTATTTTGAACGGTTTCAGAAGAAAAGAATGAAAAATATAAGTTGCTAAACAAGCCAAAATTAGGCTAATTCAATGCGAAACTGAAAGCAAACGGCACTCTCGCACAGCCTACCGCTCTCATTCGGCATTAATCCAATTAAATGAGTCCATATTTGCAATGTATTTGAATGCTAAACTTTTATTATGTAAACCTGGCTTACTTAACGCGCTTAAAAAAACATCCTCTTCACATGAGCAAATGTGTGTTTGGCCTGAGCTCAAGCTGAACGGCACGGATTGTACTACGCAGTATGCACTATTTAAATTAACCAGTGTATCTATATGTTTGGTTGACTGTATTTTATTTTGATAATGAGCTGCAACGTTTGC